TAAATGTATCCCCTCAAAATTTGTATGTTGAAACCCTCAACCCCAATATGATGGCATTTGGAGATGAAACCTTTGAGAGGTAACTATGTTTAGATGAGGTCAGAGTTCATACAGGTAGAACTCCCCTAGTGGGATTAGTTCCTTCATAAGGAAAGGACGAGACCAGAAGGTGCCCTCTTTCCACCAGGTAAGGGCACAGCAAGAAAATAGCTGCTGACAAACCAGGAAGAGAGCCCTACTTACCAGACACCCAGACTGCAAGGACCTTAATCTTGGACTTCCCACCCTCCAGAACTGTGAAAAGTAAATGTTTGTTTGGTTGGCTGGTTTTTAATTTTTTTTTAATTTACTTACTTAGTTTCAAGTAATCTCTACACCCAAGGTGGGACTCAAACTACAACCCCAAGATCGAGTCACATGCTCTACCAGTTGAGCCAGCCAGGCACTTCCAAATATTTATTGTTTCAGCCACCCAGGCCATGATATTTCGTTATAGCTGCCAGAACTGACTAGAGTCTTGTTCTTTCTCTCAACAAAATGGGAGAATATGTTCATCATAGGATCATAATTCCCAGGCTGCATCCAAGGGAACTGTCAACACCAGCCACTTCTACTGCTAAAGTAGGAGCATCGATCTCATAATAAACCAACATGCCAAGATTAACTTTCCCAGAATCTAGGCTTATATGTCAATATTTAGACTCAGGAATTTCCAAGTTTCTTGCTTAACTCCTCTGCCTCATTCTCTACCATGATTTTCAACAGCAAGCTTCTTCACCCTTAATCAATCTTCCACAGGGACAGTGAGAGGAAATCTGCCATCTTTATTCAAAAGACAAAAAAGAAGAGAAGTAAAAGGGACATACTTCCATGCCACGAAAGACAAAGCACACCTCTTTAAGGCCAAGTTAGTATTTCAGGATACCAGCCCCTACAGGTGTAGCAAGAGGCCCCATCCCACAGCTCATTACCTCTCCCGAGTCTGGCAAGACACAACTCAAACAACAACCACACATCCACAGCACAGAAAAAAGGCCAGTACTGCAGTGAGACAAGTAAGTGCTACCCTAGGAAGCCATTTCCAGACTAGGTCTTCTGCTAACTAGCTAGGTGACTATAGAAAAATTACTATATTGGGGCACCTGAGAGGCTCAGTCGTTTGAGCATCTGCCTTTGGCTCAAGTCATAATTTCAGGGTTCTGGGATGGAGCCCCACATCAGGCTTCCCAGTCCCTCTCCTCCCCCCACTCAATGACTTGTGCTCTCTTTCTCTCCCATTCTCTCTTTCAATTAAATAAATAAAAACTTTTAAAAAATAGAAAAAGAAAAATGACTATAAAATGGACATTTTATTGAGCCAATGTACTGAGCCACAGGAGGCACAGAACCCTCTAAGACAAGTCCCTATCCTTACCAGTCTGGAGGAAGTTTGGGGACAAGATCTCCTCAAAGGTGCCTTTCTCTCACTTCTAATGAATTCTGTGCACCATGTCCATAGTAAAAAGGCAATAACCATATTTTTAAGAGACTCAAGTTACTTTAGAGGACTCCTTATCATCATACCAAAGTATTTAATGCCATAGGGCTGTAATTGTACAGTTAATATGCTTGTCCAGTTTGACATTACACCTGACCTCAGGAATTCCTCTTAATGCTCAGTATCTCTGCGAAGAGTTTTCAGACTTGGAGTTCAGTTGGAGCCCTTTATTAAATACTGTCCTAATGTACTTGTGGGTTGCATATAGTCTAATAATACACCAATGCAGAGCCTTTTGTGTTGATCACTTTCTTCTGAGGTTTCTGGAAAATTTTTCTTTGATGAGAAAATTTCATTTCACGATTACAGAAAATTCCTTGACCTCTCTGTGTTCCTAGCCGACTTGATCAGTTGATTATTATATGATGGACACTCATTCTATGTCACATAGGCTTTGTGCCTCGGGTCGATGCATCTCTGTCCTGAACATCATTGATCGGCTTTGTACAGAAGGGTGCCCCCTCCCCGGATCTTCAGTACAAGTCTCCTCCCCCAAGGATGCATGCAAATAACTATGATTACAGGGCAGTGCTTTCTGTTTGTCCTTTCACAGGAAATTGTCCTCAGCCTGCGAATCAAAAATAACATTTTATTGTCTTTCTTCTCCTACCCACCTAGTCACCATCAGCCCTTTTCTTCTCAAACAATGACGCTCTTTCTATCTGGTCTTGTTAACCCTTGGCTTAAAAAAGCAAATTTCCCTATGTGATTGATGTTTTTAGTGTAAATCTGGAGCTTTGTCTGACAGGAATAAATAAAAAGACAAATTGTAAGTGCTTTGGTTGTCACGGCAGGGAGTCCTATCATGCCATCAAGCTTTCTTGTCCCCAAATGTGTGAGCTGCCTGAAAGACCAAGGTAATTGAAAGGCATGCATATACCTCTGGTTTCTCAGATATTAACGGAAATTGCCTCCTACTGTGGTTGCTTTCTGGCTCAGTGTTCTGAAAGAGAAACAGGTCATTCCATTTCTAGCACAAGTATTGAATGCACTTTAGTCCATCAGGAAGGAAAAATCTTGGTGCACTGGGAGGTAGAAAGACAATGTGGCTGCTGGTTCTGCTAACCCTGTACTGAAAATGATTCTCTTTCTCTCTCTCTCTCTCTCTCTCTCTCTCTCTATTTGTTTTCTCTTATCTGTCCCTCCTCCGTCTCTTTCTTCTACCTCAGAAAAAGAGTAGGTAGAGCTGGTACACCTGAACACTTATTTCATTTCCTACCCAAAGTATGTAACATCTTAGTTTATCTTCAAGTTTATGATGACCTCCTCCACCAGCTATTAGAAATAATCCAAATGCCTATGGTGGGTTAGTTAGTGAGTGAGTGTGTGGGTATAAGAAATTTTGGTGCCCATAGAACAAAAATATAGAACAGATGATAAGCTATGGGGTTCAAAATATTCATTAACACAGACAGTTATTATTATTAATATTATATAATATTATTATTTAATTATATAATATTAATTAGTATATAATATTAATACACATAACCAAAAGGTAAAGGCATATAATAACTTGTTTTTGGCAATGCTGGGTACACCATCTGCCCAGCACCGGTAGCTCTGAGTGACTACTTAACAACAAAATGGGTTCACAATTCTCATATGAAGCTGAGATAAGCCATGACATTTCCAGTGCATGTTGGGGGGGAGGGCAGTATCAGATTAAATGGTTAGCTGGCTAGGTGCCAGGTAACTCAGAGTTCCAGGGGTCATTTGTCAGACATTTCTTCTTGCCATTCCATACCCCCACTATACTACACCTAAACATAAGAACCTTCCCTCTGTTTCAAGGGATTGCAAGTGTCCCAGATTGTTGGTGGAGGGGAGGGAGAGTGGTCTGGATGGGGTTCACCAAATCTCACAGCATTGATAACCAGCACTTCCATTGGTCAGTTATTAGGAAATGTGTGGAGTGTCACAAGAAGTTACTTTCCATTTTGTCTCATTTTATTTCTCCCTCCCTTCCCCCGTGATCCTCTGTTTTGTTTCTTAAATTCCATGTATGAGTGAAATCATATGCTAATAAGAAGGGCACGTGATGTAATGAGCACTGGGTGTTATATACAACTGATGAATCACTGAACCTACCTCTGAAACTAATAATACACTATATATTAATTAATTAATTGAATTTAAATAAAATAATAATTTTTAAAAATACACTCTTCGGAGTGATTAAAAGATCTTCCAAAGCAGCTTCTCTGTTCAGGTGACTTGCTGTCTCCCTTTAAATTGTGAATGATGACTTGTGGAAGTGGCTTTGCTCCCATGTAGTTCCCAGAAGCTTGTGATGGCTAATGCACCAACAATTCCCTCCTCCTCCTCTGTCCCCCCACTAGGTCCAGACAACTTCAACTTCAACTATTTCTGCCTTCTCCTCCAAAGTTATATCCCATTCTAACACAGAGGACCCTCACCTGTCCGAGGCAGTGGGAAGGGCTAGCAGGGGAAATTCTCACACTTCCTTCCACATTCGCTATGCTGTCAATTTTCCTGTATGAACAGTCCTCCTGTCTTCCCTCAAAGCCTTCTCTTTAGACACTCAAAAGCTTATTTTCAAAGTTTCAAAACATTTTAGAAGACTTAGTGTTGAAAGTTACTTTCTCCTTGCAGACTCACTGCAATGATTCTAGTTCTTTTACAAGCAACGGTGAAGATCTCTAAAGGAAAGGTCAAGTGTAAGAATGTTCAGAAAAGAAAAAAGGCACAAAATTTAATATTTCCTCAAGATGGCATCTCTCTACAGCCTCATTCACTGCTCTTTCCTTCTCTACCAAGTCTTCACTAAACCCTTACTTTTCCTCCATTAACTCTGGGAAATTTCTTTCTCAAACCTTAGTTGTCAAATCTGCAAATTTCTTTTTTTCAGACTTCATTTGAGCTCTCCTATAGCATTTGATAATGTTGACCATATCATCTGTATTAGTTACAAAAGGAGGGTGGTTGTTCATAAGTAGTAGACATTTAACTCCCTACTAACTTAAGAGGAGAAATTATTGGAAGGATACTAATCTCATCCTCCCAAAGAAATTATTTGTTCAGCTCTGTTTTGGGATCTGCCTCTTGGCCTGGCATTTTCAAATCTATCCCCCTACCTAGGGTAGAAATTAACTCCCTAATAACCTCTAACAAATGCTGTTGGCCTCAATTAAACATTTCTGGATATTATTGTTTTCAATCTATTTAAACCTGCCTCCTTGTATTTATTTTATTTTATTTACTGATTTGTGTGAGAGAGAGAGAGAGAGAGAGAGAGAATGGGAGAAAAAACACAAGCAGGGAAAGGGAGAAACAGACTCCCCACTGAGCAGGGAGCTGAAGATGTGGGGATCAATTCCAGGACCCCAAGATCATGACCTGAGCCAAAGACAGACACTTAACCAACTGAGACACCCAGGCATCCCTAAAACTGTATCCTTATAATTCAATATATTCTCTGAATCTTCACTCAACTGACAATATGGTAAATGAATCTGGACGTGAATCAGACCTGGGTTTCAGGTAAGAACACACTGGCACAGCCACTGTGGAAAATAGTATGGCGGTTCCTCAAAAAATTATAAATAAAACTACCATATGATCCAGTAATTCTATTTCTAGCAAATATCCAAAGGAACTGAATTCATGATCCTGAAGAGGTATTCATCACACCCAAGATAGAGAAACAATCTCAGTGTTCATCCATGGACAGATAAATGAAGAAAATGTGGTATACACATACAGCGAAAAATTACTCAGCCTTAGAGAAAAGAAGGAAATACTGCCATTTGTGACAATATGGATGGATCCAGTGGACACTATGCTAAATGAAATAAAGCAAACAATGAAAGAATACTATAATAATCTCACTTATGTGTATAACCTAAAATAGTCAAATTCATAAAGAAGAGAGGGAGGACTTGGGAATGTGATGCTCAGAGAGTAACAAAGTTTAGTTATGCAAGATGAGTGAATTCTGAAGATCCACTCTCTACAGCATTGCTGTAGCTACATGTTAGCTAAAATGCCTAGAGCTAACAATACTGTGATATATACTTATAATTTTCTAAGAAGGGGAGGTACCTGCATAGCTCAGTCCGCTGAGTACCTCACTATTGGTTTTGGCTCAAGTCATCATCCTCGGGAGGTGGGATTGACCCCCCATATCACGCTCTCCACTCAGGCAGTATTCAGCATGAAAAGTCTCCTGGAGGTTACCTCCTCTCCCTTCCCCTCTGCTCCTCTCCCTGTTCCCATGAGGGCATGCTCTCTCTTTAAAATAAATAAATTCTTGGGGTGCCTGTGTGGCTCAGTGGGTTAAGCTTCTGCCTTTGGCTTAGGTCATGATCTCAGGGTCCTGGGATCGAGCCCCGCATCTGCATCTGGCTCCCTTCTCAGCGGGGAGCCTGCTTCCACCCCACCCCCAATCTCCCTCTCTGCCTGCTTGTGATCTCTGCCTGTCAAATAAATAAATAAATAAATTCTTTTAAAATTGTTTTCTAAGAAAGAAGATCTTATGTTGTGTTCTTACCATAAAAATAAATAAATAAATAACAACAACCATAACAAGAGAGGTGGGGGAAAACTTTAGGAGATGATGGATATGTTTATGGTCTTGATTGATGTATACTTATCCCCAAACTCATTGGAGTTGTATACATGAAATATGTATAGCTTTTTCCATGTCAATCATATCTCACTAAAGTAGTTTAAAAAACAAAAATATATTTTAAAAGAACACATAATTCTTCGTGGAGTCTTTAAAATTAAACATAATAAAAAAAAATTCCAAAGAACAGTATCTTTAATGAGATTTTAATCATTGTCATTTTAACTAAGGTTTTGTTGAAATGTATTTATCAGTAACAGAAAAGTACACAGATATTATTTGTATATGAAAGCATATTTTAAATTCCATTTAAACCCACTCATTCAATCTCCCACAGCTGCTTTTTTGTTTTGATGAAAGATGAATAAGGGATAAATAGAAGGCCAGTGTCTCAAACTGATGTACCTGTATGGCCCCCTGAAAAATCCAAGCATGTATTCATATTTGAGAAAACAGGGCTGTCAAATTCATGGTCTCTCAATAGCTCAGGCGTGAACTCATGCTTCCTACAAAAGAAAGAGGGGGTAAGGGGGCAAATTGCACTTCATGCGCTTGACACGCACTAGAGAGAAGCCCCAGAGAGAAGAAGGGATCGTATTTATGCTCAGACAAGAAGGCAGAAGGTGTCAGTGATGGCAGCACAGTGGTTCTGACATGTCAGGGGTTCCATGTCCGTGTAAGATGTAGGGATCCCTACACGTGGTGCTGGAGTCCACAGGCGGAAGCACGAGATCGCAGCTTGGGATGGAAAATTGTATCTGTCTTCTTCCACTCAAGGTCCCCTTGAAGGGGAGGTACCTGCATGGCTCAGTCTGCTGAGTACCTCACTATTGGTTTTGGCTCAAGTCATCTTGAGCATTCATCGTCCCAGAGGGAAGCCGACCTCTCTCATCTTACTGTTCTCCTAATCTATCTGTATAGGGTGTTCGGGCCCATAGGTGAGATCAGTCATACGTTGATGAATCCTAGGGTTGAAGGGAGTATTCGACTTTCTCTGCTCTAAGCCTCTAATTTTCAGATTTAAACAGTCAAGGTCCAGACAAGTGAACAGTTTGTCCAAAAACACACAGCTCGTGCACAAGTTCGAGGGCGCTGCTCATCCTGGCTGACATTTTAACTAAGAAGAGAAGGAGTGTTGTCTGGATTCGGGTTTGGCCGAAACAGGGGGCTATGCTGGTGCCTGCGGCTGGGAGTTGAGGAGAGACAGTGCAGAGGCAAGAGGAGGGAGAAGGAGGGAGAAGGAGGGAGAAGGAGGGAGAAGGAGGGAGAAGGAGGGTGTTGTTTACTGTCTTGTTGATTTTGGCCATTCTAACTGGTGTAAGGTGGTATCTCAATGTGGTTTTGATTTGAATCTCCCTGATGGCTAATGCTGATGAACATTTTTTCATGTGTCTGTTAGCCATTTGTAAGTCTTCTTTGGAGAAGTGTCTGTTCATGTCTTCTGCCCATTTTTTGAAGTGATTATTTGTTTTGTGTGTGTTGAGTTTGAGGAGTTCTTTATAGATATTGGATATCAGCCCTTTGTCTGTAGTGTCATTTGCAAATATCTTCTCCCATTCCATGGGTTGCCTCTTTGTTTTGTTGACTGTTTCCTTTGCTGTGCAGAAGCTTTTGATCTTGACCACAGCAACTTCTTTCAAGATATGTCTCCAAAGGCAAAGGAAACAAAATCAAAAATGAACTTTTGGGACTTCACCATGTCATCATTTTAAATTTCTTTGCTACCTACCTCCTTAGTGCATTAGGCAGTGTGCCAGTCTCATAAATTTCTTTAATAATTTGATAGCTGACAAGTGGTAGTGTATTGTCCTGATTTACATTTATTAAATAATACATGGGGATTTTCATGTTTATTAAACATTTGCATTTTTCCAAGTTATGTCTAGGTTTGTTCATATCCTCATGATGTTTATAGTAAATGACTGAAAGAAAGGAATAAGGAGAGGAAGGAAGGAAAAAAGGAAGGAAGGAAGGAAGGAAGGAAAGAAGGAAGGAAGGAAAGGGAGGGAGGGAAGGAGGGAAAGGAGGGAGGAAGGAAGGAAGGAAGGGAGGAAAGAAGGTAGGAAGAAAGGGAGGGAGGGAGGGAGGGAGTGGAAGTGGAGGAAGAGTCCAGCCACTTTACTATAGGTACATTCAGTATGTGTGATGCTACTTATAACATGAGAAATCATATGAAATTGATAAAACTGCTCCAAACTTAGAATCTCCCCCAACACAAACATACACACACACACAAAACCCATGGGGACTAGAAAAAACAAGTAGGTTAATGTTATCACAGATCATATAATAAAGGACTAAGTAACACAACGCTAATGATGATTGTTTATTACTCTAAAAAAATTAGAAATGAGGTGTGTTGACTATGCGCAACAGCACAGTTTGATTCTATGTCCCCAACCTCTCCCTACTTCTGTCACCACTCCCCTCAACATTCCAACATGTCAGCAAGCATATCTGACCACTTAGATGTGGTTGGCAGGGAACTCTTCTGGGCTGCGTTTTGTTTGTCATCTTAATACCTATCCCTCCACATCGTTCTCATTTCAGTAAACTGAAACCTCAGCTCCCACTCAATGACCACCTAAATATTCTCGAAGAAAATATTTGCAGGCTGCTTCCCCTTCCACCTCTGGAAAAACTCAAAGATGAAGGCGAGACAGACAAGGACAAGGAGCACATCAATGTACGTAGGGGTGAGGCCTGAGGAGACTCGAGAGCTACAGTGGGACTCTACCCTCCAGCCTCAGCCTGACGCTCATGCTCACATTGGATTTCAGTTCCTCTATGAACGATCCATGGATGCCCTAGGAAGGCTGCTGAGGACCATGATGTGGGATAATGTGAAAGCGGAGGACTGCCAAGAAATGTTCAATGTGAGTAGGGCCGTTGCTCAAACTGATTCCCACATTCCCTCATCTGTGCTGCAAAACAGCCCTCCAGAATCCTCCTCATCCTCTTCACAGGGAGATATCCAGCCTGACCCATTTAACCCATCGCATAGGGCCAGTCCACTTAAGAATTGTTTGTGGGAGGTGAGCGCCTTATTTCAGAAGAGACAGGGAGAGCACAAGAGGCAGAAGAATGGGAATGAGTGACTATGACGATTACTAAGGAAAGAACATTTATTCTTTGACCAACAGCTTCTCCGAATGTGGCTTGTCTCACAAAAAGATTGGGAAAGAGAAAGAGCCTTCCAGATCACTGCAGAAGTGCTGACAAACGATATCGAGGTAAGCCATCCCCTGGAATGAGTAGATTTCATTGCTTGCAAACATGGGGATCTTGAGGGTTCTGGAATCCAAAGTCCCTGCATGCTGAAGCTCTAGTCCCGAATGGGGTGCTTCCCAAAAAAGAACCTAAGAGGAAGCTCCTAACCCCGGGGGGTGGCAAGCACACCAGGATTAAACTATTTGGTTGCTTTTACAAGCTCCCAGGCTCACTTTTCCAGTGTCCTTAAAGGGAAGGTTCACAATTCAATTTCAACCTAAGGACTTTTCAGGGAAAAACAAGGGACTTCACATCCAGTGTTGTTGGGACTATCCTGGGATGTCGGCAAGCCGCCCCGTCACTTTGGGGGTCTTCTTTATCCTGCAGGCACCAGAGGACTTTAAAATCGGCTCCCTCCTCGGCCTCCTGGCTCCTCACTCCTGTGACACCCTGCCCACCATCCGTCAAGCAGCCGCTAGCTCCACTATTGGTCTGTTCTGTATAAAAGGTGAGGGAAAGATGAGAAACCCACAAATGAAGAGAAGATACCTGTTTTCTTTTGTTCTCGGTTTTACTCCTTGTCTCTCTCTGTCCCTCTCTCTCCCCAGTTCAGCCATTTCTGTGTTCCAATGCCTTAATTATGCCACAGAATTTGTCTCTCTTTTGGATCTTTTTTCTCCAACGGCTCTGTTTTTCTATTTTTAAAAATAAAGATAATAACACCAAAACATCATAAAAGTCCATGGAGATAGGTAAAACTGCTGTGATTTAAATCACTGAGCACTTGGGAGTAGAGCAATGCTTCCTCTATCACGTGGATTTCTTCAGGAGGAAACCGCACTACTATTACAATGCTAAGTGATTCTCAAAGTCCTCTAAGAAGGACAAACCTGTGGAGGTTTTTCCAGCTTCCAGAACAGGACCTTGTCTATTCTCCAAGTATATGTGGAGTGACAATATCAGGAAATGTAAGGAATTTTAAAACCTCAGTCTCAGGCTGAAACCGACAAATCAGGGCCTTGGTCCCAATTAAAGCAGAAGCTGCTTCCCCGAAAATGTCCCTGTAGGGCGCATGTGCATTTCTGTGCAGCCCAGGCACTGCCAGGAACACTGGTCTAGGCTTAGTGCCATTTCACACCTGTGTTCCACTCCTCTTTCTTTTAGGGATTCAGAAGATGCTTATTAACTTCTTTCCATGTGTCAACCACTTCTCTGATGCTGGAAGCACAGAGATATTACAATTCTAAAATTCACTTAAGGAAAGTATATTAGGGGCACCAGGGTGGTTCAGTCGTTAAGCGTCTGCCTTTGGCTCAGGTCGTGATCCTGGGGTCCTGGGATCGCAGTGGGCTCCCTGCTCAATGGGAAGCCTACTTCTGCCTCTCCCACTCCCCCTGCTTGTGTTCCCTCTCTCACTGTGTCTCTCTCTGTCAAATCAATAAAATCCTCTAAAAAAAAAAAAAAGTTTAAAAAAAAAAAGAAAGAAAGAAAAGTATATTAACGCCAAAAGGTGGGATTTGGTTTAGGGGGTGGGAGTGGTTGGTTAGTTGGTTGAAAAGAAAAGAAAAAAAAAAAACTATTCAGCAGGGTGAAAATGGGTATGAAAGTCCTTTGGGATATGGGAAGATAATTCATTAAGGATACGTGCTTGCACCAAGCCAGAAAATAAAAAATGAGTAAGGCCATCCTAGTAAGAGAAGAAATGTGTCAGGGAGGAACTTCAGAGGAAGAGAGGAATTTCAATTCTATTATTGCTCTACCTACTCTTCCTTTAGCATCCTTTATTTTCCTGAAACAAGCAAAATTTCCTGAAATGTGCAAAATTCAGGTTCTCAAATATTCTTTGTTAATAAGAAATCCCATACTTCATTATTTATTTTAACTCTTTTCCTTGATGGATCAAATAGCATGGCAGAGGGTATGATTATTAAATACCTGCTGAATGCAAGTAACTAGTGTGACGCTAAATTAAATACCCATTTAAAACTTGGTTTTCAGATGAGTGAGCTGAGGGTAAGAAATTTACCAGCTGCAGAAAGTAGTAGAACAAGGCTGTGAACCCAGGTCTGTCTGACTGCCAAGTCCATGTATGCTCTACTGGGCTGGGCTGCCTTCCATAGAAGGGATCAGGTGTTAGTTTCCACGGTTACCCTCCATTCAAACAACAAAGAGAAAATTGTTACTGTTTAGGTCTGAGTTTATAAATTGGTTTCTAAAATCAGTTACAACGTTACTGATGTTCTTGTTGCAATAGTTACCTTCTCCCTTCCATTTTTCCAGAAGCCGCTTACTGCTCAAGGGAACTCCCAACAGAGACAGCAGTACAAGCAGAACAGGGAGAGCCTAGGCTTCGGTGTCAAGCAGACTAGGCTTCAAATTCGGACTCTTCTATTTTTAGTCTCTGGATAGCTGTGGCCAAATGGCTTTATAGCTCTCAGCCTCAGCTTTCTTGTCTGCAAAATCAGGAGCGTCTACCTCAGATAATGTTTATGAGTAATAAACGAGATCATGGTATGCAGAGGACTCAGCCCAGTACCAGCAAGCAGAAACTGCTCAATCCGTGTTTGCTCTTGTGCCCAGCCTTTCATCAGACAGGCTTTCGTGCATTGGTTAAAAGCATCCAGCAGCTAAATTAGGGTCATATCAAAGTAGAGCCAACCTCTTTAACCCTATGGGGTCTTTGAACTCTTGCATCTGTCTCCCCTTGTGGATTTCAGGCACCCACCCGGAGGTGGAAAGACTGCAGAGTCTGCAGGAAGGGCTGCAGTGTGATGACGGGCAGGTCCAGATCAAGATTTCTTCTAAAATAGCGAAGGTAATAGATACGGAGGACTGGCCAAGGGGTGGCAAGATTATTCTGGGTTGATTTCCAAATGAGTAGGCTGTGGACGCTCCACTACCAAGGAGAGCGAAGTCTAGCCATTGCTTGTCCCTGGGGCCGTGTGCCCAGGCTACACCTGCTACGGATCATTTCATACTCTGAGGAAATCTATGAACCAAGCATCTGTTTTCAGGATGAAGGAGGCAGTGTGGTGGAGTGGAAGGTACAAAGGCTTTGGGGTCTATCAGATGATGCTGTGTGCACTTGCTTGAAGTCCATTCTCCTCATTTCAAAAAAAAAAAAAAAAAGTGCATAACCTACCTCTCAGAGTTGTTCTGAGGATTGGTCAATGAAGTCATTCATTTATTTAATCACTTATTCATTCACCTACTATGCCCTATACACCTACCATGTGCCAGACTTTGTTCTAGCCTCTAAGAATAGAAAAAGACAAAAGGCCTGCCCTCAGTCATTATGACTGTGTACTTACAGAGAGAAGTGAACTGTCGTGAAGACAGGGTGTCTCTTACTAATTTATAAAAGCCCTTTCTGAACCCATGGTGTTTCTGCAAGAAGGAACATGATCAGACTTGCATTTCCAAAGGGTCATCTGGCTATTATGTTCAGACTACGATACAGGTGCAGCCAGAGTGAAATTAATGAGGTCAGTTTAGAGGAAACTACAAGAATCCAGGTGTGAGATTAGGTGGCTTGGACTAAGGAGGCAGCAGCAGAGATGATAAGAAGGTGACCAGAATAAGGGAGAGAAGCCACTTGGGGTGGGGTGGGGGAGAACAGAATGCACATTATGTCAAATACCTAAGAAAGTGTCTGATGTGTTAGGTTCTCAAAAACATGAGCCCACCTCCTTCCTTTCTTCCTAAACCATCATCCATCCCAATGTGAGGGGAAAACAACAACAAAAACAACACAACAAAACAAAAAAACAGATAACCATTGAGTTTGGAGCCCAGGCAAGCATTTGGTGTTACATAAAACACATGTGGCAGTCTAGTCCTTTGATCTTGGAATCAAAATGGTTCAGAAATCGGTTGAGACGTGAAAAGGGATTAATTTCCTTCCAAGAACTGTTCAACCAAATATCAGTCATTGGGCCACTTAATGCAGAGGGAAGTCAGTTGTGAATAGCAATGTTTTCATACCTACAAACTCATAATCATGACCATCTTGCTTAGTTAATGCCCCAGACAATGTCCCTGGAATTCATTCAAACGGCCAACTTTTCACCTGCCTGCCTTTTCATTAGCACGTACACACACACACACACACACACACACACACACACACTCATACTCACACACTGCTATCACTCCTTCTGTAAGTTTCTTATACTTAGAGACCAAAATTGCCAAGTTTTTATTTTCTGCACCTTTTGTTAACTAGTCTTAATTTTGAAACATGGAAAAGCAAAAGAAAGAACTCATAATAATTCATACTTACATGGATATTGTGATCTGCCTAGTATTGAACATGGCACTTAGTACATGGTGATCTATTTTCCTAAATTCTCAAGGCTTAGCTATTCTGGTAGATGTAAGACATATCTCTGTGATATATGAAATATATGTGAAAGTAATTTATATCATATAAATTGGATTATAAACCATATACATTATTTTTCCCTGGTGGAGTACTCTATAACTTCGAAGTCTGGAGAAGAAATTGCCTCAGTAGTCTTGGGATGCAATAAATATAAAATTATAAAAGGGCAACTCTAGAAAAAAGTCTGCCTAGAGTTGCAGGGTAATGTCTGTTTGTTTTTGTATTTTCTGTAGGTTCTATGTCCTAGTCATGGGTCAGCTGTTTGGAAATTCCAGTGGTTTCTACCAATCTCCTAAAACAGTAGCAGCATGTTGAATTAGTGTATGTAGAGGTGGTTGATAACATGAATCTTTCTGGGTACATTCTCAGATTGTCAGTAAACTCATCCCAGTTGAAGAAATCCTACTGTTCCTGGAGGAAACCCTGGATGGTCTGGAGAGCCTTAACTCCGCCTGTACCCAGGCTTGTGGCATATGGATGATTACGGTCCTGAAGGAGCAGGGAGCCGCTTTGGAAGAACAGGTGAACTGCCAGCCAGTTTGGCCACAGAACTGACCTCTAACAGTTTTGAAATGCCATGCTGGTGGTCACTTCTCAATTTGTCCTCTGCTGGATAACGGGCAAGAGCACGCACAACCTCGGAGTCCTCCGCAGAGACCCAAGTTGTGTACTAACAACCCGGCTCATGTTGAGTGCCTGCCCCAATCTGTTTCAATTGTCTCTCTAGCCTGTGACTTAAAAAAAAAAAAAAAAAAAAAAAACTTGCCCAACTCTCCCTCTCTGGCCAGAGACAGCAGCTCTGAACAAGGACATTTGGGTTCTGGAAAACTGGATTGTTAGATCTTAAGGAGGATGGTGACCGTGTGGATTCCCTTGGGGTTGACCACTAAGGGTCAGAAGAGTTCCTAATCCCACTGCCACTCTTCAAGCTGCTCTTCCACAGAACTTTAGGGTTGGTTTTCTGGTAAGGACAGCTGTCATTGGAGAGCTGACTGGGGGAAAGTCCTCAATACTTGCTCCCAACTGGAGAGTTAGGCAGTGTGAAGAAGACTTGAGTTCAGGAAGCTTGGTTAAAAGCTCCAAATGGAGATGCTCTATCCTCTCTCTTGAGGTCAGAAGCAGAATTCAAGTAATTCAAAGATTAATAAAAAGGAAGAGAATCTTTAACTCAATGAAATCATCTCAAGGGGAATAGTTGAAAGTTATGGTCCCCATATCCCAGGGTCGGTCACCTTAAAGAATTCTCTAACATATGACCTTTAGAAATAATTTCTGTGTTAATTACTCTCCAATCAGTTTTTTCAAAAACATTTATTTTTTTAAAGATTTATTTATTTCAGAGAGAGAGAGAGCACACAAGTCGGGGGAGAGCAGAGGGAGAGAATCCCCAAGCAGATTCCCCTCTAGGCACAGAGCCCAATGTGGGGCTGGATCCCATGACCCTGAGATCATGACCTGAGCTGAAACCAGGAGTCGGACCCCCAACTGACTGAGCTACCCAGGCGCCCCCAGAAACATTTTTTTAGTGCATACTATGGCAGGCACTAGGCTAGGCATGAGAGAATCAAAGGCCTATAAATCTGGAATGCCATTGTATTTGAGTGTTCAGCACAAAAAGGGAAAAATAGGGACATAAATCCTCTCCTAACATCATTGAAATGGGACTCTGTGGTAATCATACTTGCCAGATATTTGTTTACGGAATTATAATTCAGGGCAAATGTTATGTTTATCCTAAAAATGTCTATCCAAAATAAATAAGAGAAGTATCTGCTAGAAGCAAAGTTTCTTTAGCTGAGAGCTTGCTGTCCCCCACAGCTAAAATACAAATGCATAACATCATTTCCTACTGCCCGCAGATTAACATGCAAATTTGGAAGGGAGACTGTCAGCGTTCTCTAGGATCTGGCTTCATATTTTCTATCAAATTATCTTCTTTTATCACCCTCATTTTCTTTGCGTTTCAAACTGGACCATTCTCTTATTCCAGAAGTCTTTGCCATATTTGCTCGGTCCCACGCTCTCCTGTTATTTTGTTACATAGATTTTTTTTTTTAAGAGCAGTTTTAGGTTCATAGCAAAATTGAACAGATAGCCATATACCTCCTCTCCTCACACACATGCCTCCTCCCTCACTATCAACACCCCACAAATGTAGTCCATTTGTACTACATTACAAATGTAATTTGTAATTTGTAATACACTACAAATGTAGTCCATTTGTTACAATCAGTGAACCTACATTGACACATCATTATCACCCCAAGTCCATAGTTTCCGTTAAGGTTCACTGTTGGCCTTGACAAACGTATAATTGCATGTATCCAGCATTGCATTAACACACAGAATAGTTTCACTGTTCTAAAAATCTTCCATGCTTCATCTATTCTCATGCTTTTTTATTTTACATCTTTATCTGTATTCTTCTTCCTGATGAGAATGATTTTCCCTTACCATCTTCACCTTGCCTTTTTTTAATTATTTTTTTATTTTTTATTAACATATAGTGTATTATTAGCCCCAGTCCACCTTGCCTTTCGAAATTGTTGTTTATCCTTCAAGACTCAGACCAGATATCCCTCCACAGTGACCTCAGTTACTTCTGGATTCCCCTATCAGTCCAGTGAACCTCCCGTAGATCACTGGCCATATGCTGCCTTGTGCGCAGACCTTCGGGTGTATGGCTAACATTCTTTTTTCTTTTTTTAAGATTATTTATTTATTTGACAGACAGAGATCACAAGTAGGCAGAGCGGCAGGCAGAGAGAGAAGGGGAAGGAGGCTCCCTGCTGAGCAGAGAGCCCAATGTGGGGCTTGGTCCCAGGACCCTGTGATCATGACCTGAGCCAAAGGCAGAGGCTTTAACCCACTGAGCCACCCAGGTGCCCCACTAACATTCTTTATTAGAAAACTGATTCTTCCTGAGAAAGGGCCACATCTTACTCATCTTTGGTAAATTCCCCATGATGCCTAGCACAATATTTGATCTAATGCAACCTTTCACTAAATATTTACTACATCAATTTAAGAATAAATACCCAATATAGCTACAAGCCGCCTGAGTAAGAGACAGGCCACGCATAGAATTAATGATTATTTTTACCTGGTTTATAATTCATCAACCACCCATGAATCATACACTGTCTACATGTGTCCTAAGCCGCTCATGTAGAGGAAAAAACAGCAACTTCCTGTTTGATTTGGATTTTCTTTTTCCTTTAGCTGTTGGAGATCTTGATCATGATTTACCATCACATGCCAGTCCTCAGGCAAAAGGAGGAAAGTTTCCAGTTCATGCTGGAAGCCGTCTCTCAGATCGCCAGCTTTCACATGGAGGCAGTCGTCGCCAACCTTTTACAGAAACCTCTGCCCTTCGACAGGTAGAGGCTAACTAACTGAGTTGCTCTGTTCTCCCGGGAAGGGCTAATCTGCATTGAGGAAGAATTTGTGGTTTAAGAGAAGGAAAGCAAAAACAAAGGTTGAGAACATCTCACCTAAATAATCATTTCAAAAATGGTGCTTGAATCACAAAGCATGTTTTTTCCAAGTGTTTTTCATATACATATCCTCATTAAATGATGAGTTTTTTTTTAAAAAAAAATACACTATAGGAATAAATGAGTATTAGAAAATAAGTATTTCTCCTCTTTCTGGTCACCTAGAATACACCTAGCTGAGAGGTTTCTGCTTTAACAGATATCAACAAAGTCAGTCACACACATCCAGAATGCTGGACTGTTAAAGAACATATCCTTCTTATCTCTAAGCATGTTAGCATCTCCATCTGTCCCTTGAAATTTTGATTAGTCATACTGTGGTTTTAGAGGTGAACAGATGAAAAAGCTCATATTCCAAAGAGTTGTTTCTTATCAGCTTCCTGCCTTACCACCCTAGGGACACAAAGACGTTGTGGAAGGCTCTGGCTGAGAACATAGCCTCCAGTAGTAAACTCTTGAGAGCCTTAACAGACAAACTTGAGAATGAATTAGAGGATGACATGGCCGGGACAGAAGCGATTTCAGTGAGTCAGACAACAACCCATCACACGCCTGGTATAGCGTTCCACTCCATGGTCTGCCCCCACCTGGAGCTTAGTGATTGTAGCACTAATCATACTTCTTCCCCTCTCATACCCTGATTTTAAATCAATTCTATCTTAAAATTGGACAAGGATGGCCCTAATTTTGTCTGTGGCTATCCCTTCTGGAACCAAATTTCTCATCATCCCAAAGAAAATCCATGTATCTTTATTTCCAAATTTGTCTTCAAGATATCCAAAAAGCACCCTTTTGAAAGACCTCAGGGTTGGAAAAGGTTTCATTTAACCTGACTGCGGCCCCCTGGAATTTGGAGCTGACCAACATGGCAGTCCTGAGAGAGAAACATATTCTGAGTTGAGAAGTTTCCAGACAAATACATCCTCTCCTCTCTGGCTGTTTTTATTCTTGTTTCGCTCTTGCTTTGCTTTGTTTTTACAATGAGTGTGGTCAACCTGGAGAGCAATCCTCTGGGGAGAAAACAAACTTGAAGATCAGGCCAGGGAGATGTTCCGGGAGGAAGGGAGCCTGCTTGACCTTGGGGTCCTTTCTCCCCTCAGGTGGCCTGTGCTATGTATGAAGTGGTATCAACAGGCACCCCCATCACCAGCTTGTACCCGGAGCTGTTCACTCTTCTCCTGAAGCTGGTCAGCTGCACACTGGGCCAGACAATGCCCATTTCCACCTGGAGCCACAGGCGGCGGGTAATGCAGCAGGGAGAACGGCAGCAGACCGCAGACCCCTGCAGGTACGTGGCCGGGCCGGAGGGCCCTCCCCAGCTGCCTGGGTCCCAGACTAGACAAGGGGCTCTGGGAGTCAAGGCTTATATACCATCTGCTGTGGCCTCCACTACCCAGGAGGAAACAAGGCTCCATTGATCTTGAGCCCTCGTGCTCTTCTTCCCTGAGCCGGGCCCCCGTGTAGCTGCCCAGAACCATCCCAGAACAACGAATGGCAGATCTGTGTGCTTTCCTAGAGCTCTGTCTCCCTTGTTTTCTCTCACGGAGACCCTTCAAGGAAAGCCGGGATTCCATAATATCCAAGGCCACCAAGAGAAGGAGAAAAATAAAAATCGACACCACATTTTAACCAACTGAAGATGTCACCCATGGAAGGAAGCAAAATTATTTTGTGTATTATTGAAAAAGAAAGAATCCCAACCAAGCCACGAACCCATGCTTTCTTATACTTTCAAATGTTTGCTATATATTTCTTCAAAGAGCTCTTTTAGAGTGATTAGGTATAGATTTTTATCCTCTATTGCAAGGCTCTGTTTCCCTGTCCTGTTGCATAACTTTTTATCCTGGTGTCAAATCAACCTGTTGAAAGACATTCCAAGCAGCACACATAGTTCCATTAATAGATGTCGCTTCACTACAGGGACAGTAAGATAAAGGACCATGCTCCCATCCACGCCTGTACCGTGCCTGTGCGGGCCCGGCTAACTCCAGCACGACCACCCTCCAGTCGCAACACACCACCCAGGGCAAGAGGCTGCCTGGTTCCAGCAGGCTGTTTTAGAATCCTCAAAAGAGAGGAGTTTGGGGAGGGTATGTGCTATGGTGAGTGCTGTGAAGTGTGTAAACCTGGTGATTCACAGACATGTACCCCTGGGGATAAAAATACATTATATGTTTATAAAAAAAATAATAATTTAATTAAATTTTAAAAAATTTAATTTATTTTAATTAAAAAAAAGAGAGAGAGAGAGAGAGAGAGAGAAGAGTTCGCCCTTTCCCCCTTGGGGCTTTCTTTTCTCATGAGAGATGAATGAGTTTCTGTGGCATTTTCCTTACTGGTTCAGATCGTCTCCGTGTCCCCTCTGACCCCAAATTCAAGTGTGAGATCGGGCAGTGGGTTTTCCCCCTTTCACAGTGTCCCTTCATCCAGGAGTGAGGGAGCCTTGTGGGGAACAGACAGAGCGAACTTAGGGACTCACAATTCCCTGCGAGGGGTTGGCTTACTTTTGTGGGGCCGACTATCTCCTTCAGGCTCTCGACGGCGACTCTGAAGTGTGTGCAAGCCCAAGCCATGAAAGAAGGTCTTGCCAAGGAATCTGATGAGGGGGACAATTTATGGACCCTCCTCAGCAGTCCCAGTACCCACCACGTGGGAGTGTGCGCACTGGCCAGGTAACGGGCGAGCCTTCTAGAACTGGACACGAAGGAGAACACTCAGAATTGAGTAAAAATGCAGTGGAGACAGCTTCACTGGGAGCAGAGGACTCACTAAGGATTTATAGTCCAGGAGGAAAAAAGAGGGAAGAAGAAGCAGAAGGAGGTGGGAAGAGATGGTGGGAGCAGCTCAGATCCCACCACTCCCCCCAAAATAGAGCGATGCAGCAACAGTGTTAGGAAAGCTGCACCTGAATCGGGCACTTGGATAAGCTATTTGCAATGTAAGCATTCGTGCTTTTTCACCAAACCTCCCTTTTTAGATCATTTATTTTCCTGAGAGAGAAATAGACCCAAATTTCCTCCATTGTTTAGAAAGAAAAAAGTGTTACAACTGGAGGCTTGTGTTTTCTAGGAGCATGGCACTGTGGCAGCGTGGGCTCATGCTAGACATCATAGAGCAACTGTTCTCATCCCTGACCTCCTCCTCGGAGAACTACCGCATCACTGGCACAGCTTTCTTCTCTGAGGCAAGAGAGAGTAGCCGCGCCCCCGCTCGGCAGGCCCTCTGGGTCCCCTTGGGGCAGTTCTCTCAGTGTCAAGAGTTCAGTGGGAGCTCGAACCACAGAGGAGGGCCCTTCAGGGAAGCTTTGGGGGTCGAGAGATCCAGCCACTGCCAGAAATATGGTGCCCAAGCAGGGACTGAGAGAGGAAAAAAAAAAAAAAAAAAAAAGAACCCGCCCGCAACCTCTTCCATCGCTCAAGTCTGCAGAAACCAACCCTCCCAGGACAGAGAAGCCTGGAGAATTAACTATACCAGGGACAAAACACAAAGTACTCAATAGGGATATTATCATCACCTCATACCCTGGCACTAAAGTTGTCCCAGCCGACCCAGAGAAGGAACACTGTCGCTAACTCCCGTTTTCCCATTTTTCCATTAGATTAGAAAACCTCTTCTTAACTAGATATCATGGTTCTTGTCACCACGTAGCCTTGACCCATGGGCTGCTCACATCTAGAGAGTAGTTTCTGCAGCACTTGCTGATTGACCGGGGGATTCCCTCCTCCCCTCCATGAGTGGGTGGACCCCACTTTTTCGTCGTAGTTGTGATGCACTTGTCACTGTTCTGGAGGGAGGCCACTCATTCCACTAAAGGGGTGAAGTGGTTGTTTTCAGCTCATGAAGGAGCCCATCCTTTGGAAGCACGGGAATCTACGGGAAGTGCTGATCCTCATGGACCAGAGCGCCTGGGACTCCAACGCCACGCTGAGGCAAATGGCCATCCGAGGGCTTGGTAACACAGCTTCTGGAGCCCCTCACAAGGTGAAAGGAGCATGGGGCTGGGGGACATTTAAGTAGAGTTGAAGATAATGATAACTAACCCACTCCTCGTGGTTACCTAGAAATTCAGTAAAAATCTTAATATATTGTTACAGTGGTGTTTCTCGGGTGGAAAAACCCAGGACCCTAACCGAATTCTAATTTCCTTGCCGGGAGTCCCCTAACCTCGTCCACCTACCTGCATGTAGAACGGTTTTCGAGATTAAGAGACCTTATTTCAAAATAGGTGAAGAAGCATAAGCAGATAATATTAGAATCTATCATCAGAGGCCTATACCACTTGGCCCGCACCGAAGTCGTCTGTGAAAGCTTGAAGGCTCTAAAAAAGATCCTGGAGCTGCTCACAGACCGAGACGTGAGCTTCTACTTCAAAGAGATAGTGCTGCAAACGAGAACATTCTTTGAAGACGTAAGTGAGCCTGTTCGGGAATCTTCCCTCCCCAGAAGTGAGCAAACAGAAAGGTTCAGGTAGTGCGTGTAGCAGGCAATGTCGTGTCCCATCTGGATTCCTCAGCCTTCCCTTGGGTATCCCATGCTGCCTTCCTGGGTCTGCCTCTGCCTGAGGGTCCTCTCTGGCTGGGGAATCATGATCCTTCTGAGCAGGGGGGAGCAGACGTGTTGGGGGAGAATCCTCAAGAAATAAGAAATGCGAGCTTGCAGATAAACTCCTCAGCTTCCTCCCCCGACAGAAAGATTGAGCCCCACTTGCCCATAAGGGAAATACAATCTTTAATATTCCCTTTTTGTAGCTTTCCCCTCTCCCCTTATTCCCACAGATTATGACAAGACTCAACAGAGAGCAGGGCCAATATAAGGGCCTTGTCACCTCCAATGCTCTTCTCCACTTCCAAGATTCAAAGTTTCAAATGCTCCTGTGGTTCATTTAATCTGGGAGTCAGGATACACCGCAGCCTGAGGGCCAAACCCTGCCCAGAGCATCTTTTCGTAAACTAAGTTTTATGCGCACAGCCATGCTCCTTGGTGACGTGTTGTCTATGGCTGCTTTCACACTTCATCTGCAGAGTTGATCAGTTGTTACAGAAACTATATGGCCCCCAAAGTCTAAATTATTTACTGACTGGCCTTTTACAGAAAAAGCTTCTGTAAAAGCCCCAATCTAGTCAATAACCTAGAAATCAATTTCAAAAAAAAAAAAGATCCGTCAGTGACCCTTGACAAAGGAAAGTCATTTTCCTTCAGGCCTTCCAGAAAACTAGATTTTATTATTTGTTTTTGGTTTATTCATTGTCATCAATGTAAAAATCTATTTCCCCTCCAACTTATCTATTTTTGTGACTGAAACCTGTTTCCTCGTGTTGTGTTGTCAGAGGAGATGGAAAACTGCTGGTTTCCTCCTCTTCAACATTAAGGCTTGATTAAATTACCTTCCTGCCTTCCAGTCTCCAGACTGAAAACTCTTCATTTCCTCCATTATTCATCATAAACCTAATTTTTCAGCTCTTTAAATATTTCACAAGCCAGCCACTGTGTTGTGTCTCTAGATGTGGCCTGCACACCACTGAATACGACCTAAAGAAAAATTACCTCTCAGGTCTGATTTTTTCCCATTTATCCACTCCAATTTTTTTTTTTAATCTTGCCCTTTCTTCTTGACTCCTTGGCAATTTTTTTCACCATGGAGGCCTCTAGATTTTAATCTGCAATATATGCCCACAGTCAATAATTCTGCAGGTGTGCATTTTTCAGTTTCCGTTATTTCATTCCTAAACTCATCGCGGCCTTTGAAAGCAGCTTTCTGCTGGTTTCCAGCTACTTTCTCAAAAGTATCAACATTCCTTTTAATTCTCATTTGGTCCTCAAAACTGCTTATGTGGCTCCCACTCAACATAGTATCTTCTGTAAAATAACAAAGATGTTCTTTTCTTCATTACACAGATGATTGATGGCAACAGAGGGCTGAAGTCACCCCCACAGAGCCCCCCGCCCCGTCTGTTAGCTTCCTGGCGTTCTTGTTGGATCCAGTGACGAGAGATCTTTTGGATCTGAGCCTTCAATAATCACCTACGAGTTTTGTGGTCAATATCATGTTTCTCAGTCTTATGCAGAAGACAAAAAAACTGAAGTCTTGCCAGGTTGTTAGGTTAGAACTTTGTCATCCTCAGGAGGTATCAGTTTCATCGTATTTGTATCAAAGCGAAGTTTGGTAAAAACTTAGGACTTAGTAATGACATGCTGCTATTCATTCTCTGCTAATGCTCTCTTCCCACAAATAAATTTAACTATACTTTATGAAACTTTGCCCCAAGAGTTTTCTATAGATTAAGCATGCAATTCTGTAATTGCCAAGTTTCTCCCCTCCTCCCTTTCTTTCAATATTTAAGCACTTTCTTGGAATTCTCAAACATGGTGACATTTCAATAAAATGGTAGAACAGAAAATATGGCTGCCACCCCACGTGCCAGGCCCTCTTCCATCTTGTCTCTGCACTGACCCCGAAGTCATCTTCCTGTGTGTGACTCCATTTTCTCAACTCGAAACAAGGACACGAAACTCTAGTATCACCACCAGAACACACAACCGGTTCGCTGCTTCTTTTCTGCTTTTTCCTATTATTCCTTGACCTATCGTTAGGTTCTATCATTTGATTTCAAAAAATTTAAAAGAGTTTGAAAAAAAGTAAATAGCTTTCTACTTTTTTGGTGTTTTATAATTGGTTTGTCTTCTTTTTCTAAAAAGAGACCTTTAGGGGCGCCTGGGTGGCTCAGTCAGTTAAACGTCTGCCTTCAGCCTCAAGTCATGATTCCCGGGTCCTGGGATCAAGCTCTGTATCGGGCTCCCTTACTCAGTAAAGAGCCTGCTTCTCTCTCTCTCTCTCTCTCTCTCTCTCTATCTGCTAAATAAATAATCATTTTTTAAATAAAATAAAATAAAATAAAATAAAAAGAGGCATTTCAAGGCAACTGGCTGGCTTAGTCAGTAGAGCATGCAACTCTTTGGATGTGGAGATTCCTTAAAAATAAAATCTTTTCTAAATAAATAAATAAATGGGGGTGCCTGGGTGGCTCAGTTGGTTAATCATCCAGCTCTTGGTTTCGGCTCAGGTCATGATCTCAGGGTCGTTGAGACTGAACTCTGAATGTGGCTTCATGCTCAATAGGAAGTCTGCTTGAGATTCACTCCATTTCTCTCTCCCTTCTGCTCTGCCCCTACCCTGCTCTCGAACACTCATGCTCTCTCTCACAGATAAATAAATAAATAAATAAATAGTCTTTTAAAATAAATAAATGGACCTTTTAAAAATATATCCTGACCTCATTCCTAGTACATTTAAACATTTCTACTTCCGTTGCTTCCATTATATAAGGCCATGTCTTGTGTATCATTTAACTTTTCTGGCTTTATCCCAACCTGCCGTCTTTATTTTTTTCTAGAAAATCTTTAACTTCCTTCTTTATGACATTTCTGTTTGTGTGCCCATTTCTGACACATTCTACCTTGTCATCAAAATCAATACGACTCTCTTTTTTCTTTTCCTCATATTCCTGGGGATGCTTTTCATTGGCCCTTTTTTGTTGCTAATCCAAGATAATATTCTGCTACTCTGGATGACTTCTCTCTTCATCCCTCAGCCTTTACATGGGAATTTTAAACTAGTTTGCTAGACCTAGAAGCAGAAAAAAAAGAAAGAAAGAAAACCCTCCAGCAAACCCATCAGTGTTTGATAGAACTCTGAATGGTATCAGCAAAGTGTCTGGGATAACAGGCGGCCATCTTTCTCCCCCACCTCACCCTTTGGTTCTTAAAAATCACCCCTACCATCCTGGACAACAAGCAAGAAAGTTCCAGAATCTCACATAGGCCAGCATCGGGATAGGCACTTGTTTGTTCATTCTCTGTGTCTGAGAACCAGAGCCCAAATTTCTGAGCTGCCTTTAACCCCATTGAAAAGTATTTGGGATCTTAGACAAGAGCCCTGGGCCTTGGGCAATTTAGATTAGAAGCCACGAGTCCTAGGTCAGTGATAGGTCAGTGACGCCTTCATGCTAATTTGCATAAAATACACAATAGCAGGAACCCTCCCCGACCTCTTGCTGCCACTACTCCCTGTTTACCCTTCCTCTGATCTGTTTCCCTAGTAGCTACTCGAGGACAGGACCCAAGTCTCCCGCTCTAGAGCATCACTTAAACCCAGACCCGTGATCATTTACACTCACAGTGGGAGCGCATAGCTGCTAGGAATGGAGGAACATTCTTGGCGCACAAAGAGGTTGTGACAAGAGCATACCAGCGCCTTCGTCGCAGCCTCCCTTTGCTGACGTGGGACAGGGCAGGTTGGGTGATGGGTGTGAGGGGGGACTCTCTGGGAATGGCCTGTGAGGGGGGACTCACCCACGACATGCCTCTGTCACCACAGGAGCAGGATGATGTGAGACTGACTGCCATCTTCTTATTTGAGAATCTGGCATCCCTAACAGGAAGAAGGTGGAAGATATTTTTTGCAGAAGAAATAAAAAAGAGCATGATTTCATTCCTTCTCCACCTCTGGGATCCCAATCCCAAGATCGGAGCTGTAAGTGGCCTCTGCACAGACACCTTTACCTCCTCCTCCCCCCATAGCCAACAAGTGCCAGTAAGTCTGGTCTAGCTGTTCCGGAAGCCAGACCTGAGGCCACCTCTCTCAACCGAACCTGAAAACTGCTTCTTCCACCCTAGGTTCTTTCTTGCCTGCTCTCTCTGTCAGAGGTTGAAACTGGGAAGGTGTCAGCCTTGACTTTAAACCCCAAGCATCACTGGTGCCCACTGCCCCTCTCCCACCACTAGGCGGCATCCTTCCCTTCCCGTAGAGGATCCAGCCTTATAGACAGTGACTTGGAACGCCCTGTTTCTTAGGCTTGCCGTGATGTCCTGATCATCTGCATCCCTTTCCTGGGCCTTCAGGAACTCTATGGGGTGTTAGATCATCTCCTTGATGGTCAGGATCTACCAAGGGCCAGGGATTTCTACAGGCAATTCTGCGTGAAACTGGTGAGTGTGTTGTAAATGCTGCCTGCAAACGCACAGCCCAGAATCCAGGCAAATCCCAAAAAGGCAAACAACACAGCAAGGGATCTGTGGCCACAGTCAGAGCTGGTTTGGAAGGATCCCAACAATTCTTGGTGTCCTGTCCCACTACCCTCCTCTCTTTCCCAAGTCCTGACTGGGATCTGTTCTCTGAGATTCCTGAAATACACCTGTTAATTAGTCCCACAAGGCCCAGTTCTGTTCTGTTCTTTTCTCTTTCTTCTTTTCTTTTTAAGATTGATATTTATTTGAGAGAGAGAGAGCACAGAAGGGAGGGAAAGAGGAAGGGGGAGAGAGAACCTTGGACCCTGTGCTGAGTGCAGAACCTGACATGGGGCTTGATCCCTCGACCCTGATATCAGGACCTGAGCTGAAACCAAGAGTCAGTCGTTTAACCGACCGCACCCCCCAGGCGCCCCTCAGTGCTTTTCTGATAACCATAACCATAACCATAAGACATCTTCCAGTAGAATAATTAATGGCTATGTGAGTGTTCATAGCCTTTTAGTTTCCTTTTGTAGGACCTACCAGATGCCAAATTTCATGATGGGTCACTTCCCAGTTGTTCTCTTTGTAATATATATCTCTTTTAGGCAAAGAAAAACCAGGAAATCCTGTGGATCCTCCACACACACTCATTCACCTTCTTCAGCAGCAACTGGGAGATGATCCGGAGCACTGCTGTCAAACTCACAGGTGAGGGCACATCCACTCTCCCTACTCAGGTGAGTCTGTTCCTTCCCATCTAGTCTTGCTTCAACGGGAAACTATTCCACCATGAACACGGGCATGACTGGGATGACAACAACCAAAAAAATGCAAGAAAGGAATTCGTCTTGTGTCTTGGAATATCTTCCCACAAAGGAACCTGTGCAAATGAAAACTTGTAGCATCTTCTGACTTCCCAATACCTCCTCTCCTCCCATTAGCCGCTCCCCCTTTATGGGCCCTCCTTGCCTCTTCTGGTTCCAAGTCATCACTCCTTCTTATGCCCAAGTCTTTACCCCAAGCCTGCTGCCATGCCTGAATGCTTCCTTTGCATCATCCCTTAACATAAGCCATAGTAAACCTTCTAAGCTCAGTTGAAGCCAAGAGCTTTAGTAGCTACATGACACAAGTGGAAAATGTGTTGGTGAGGAGACCAGGAGATCTTGGCTCCGCTATATGATTCTGGACAATTCACTTAACCTCTCTGTGTTGTCTCTTTGTCTGATCTATGAAATAAAAGAGGAACGTAAGTGAATCCCTGAGGATCCTTCTATTATGAAATTCTAATTTTTATCATGACGCCTATCCCAACTTATCCAGTCTACCTTGAACAGACCTACTCTTTTGGCCACCTTTAAGACTGAGTTAAAACCTAAGGATTTTTTATTGGATCATATGACTGATCCCTCCAGCTATACTGTAAACTTTCTGAAGACAATGATCCTATCTTGCTCACGTTTGAAACCCAGACTACAACTGGCATCCCCTGGGAGGACACTGAGTGACCTTTCCCAAGTACACATTGGTGAGGGACCACTTTCAGACATGGCACTCAAGGCCCAGGAGATATCACCCTGGCATTGTTCTGGGGTCACAAAAAGACTCAGAGAATTTGCTCACTCACCAGCCAGACCACTTAACTTCTGACCAGGTGCAGAGTCTGACCGGACATGCTTTTCATGGCCTCTTCCTCTATAATGAAATTAGTATTTTTTTCCCCTGTTGATTTTAGATGCCATTGTTCTCAATTTGACCAACCAATATGTGCAGTTATTAGACAAAGAACAACTGACCACACGTGAGTACCAACCCTAGTTTCTGATCAGCATGTTGTTAAAGACGTATCTTTGAGAAAGAAAAGCTAATGCTGCACCAAGTTCCCTGTTAGCCCAGAAACTGAAAATCCTAGTACCTCATGACTGTCTCTGATGTTCCCTAGATGCTGGAATTTCTCCCGAGAATAAAGCAACCCCCAAGCCCAGACCTTTGCAGGCATCATTCCCAAAAGACTATTGTTTTCTGATTGCCTGTAAACCTACTGATTACTAGGTCAAGATCTTCTCTCCTGCTCTCTGACTGTTAAAATAGATTCCCAACTTGCAGAGTTAAGCCCTACCCATTGGGATAGAACATAAGCCTGGGGGCCCCAGCTCCACATAGAGCTTGACATGGAGCCTCACGCCATGACATAGCTTGAGCCTCGCCTTTCTTCGTTCACTGAACTCCGCATTCGTCCTGTTTCAGGGCTCCAAGCTCTTCGGCAAGACCCCTGCATCAGTGTCCAGAGAGCAGCTGAAGCTGCCTTGCAGACCCTCCTGAGAAGGTGTAAAGAGCTAGGCATCCTTCTGTAAATCATCAAGAAATAAACAGCTAGGCTTTTTCTACAACTGACTCCTGTCTTCATCCTTACAACCTACAAACTGGCAGCATCTTGAGGAAAGAGATGGTGCCTAGCCTGGGGAGCTTGAAGTGATCGTATATTCCTTACCCTTCAGGGTCTCCCTGCCGACTTCCATTAGTAAAACGTAAATCCCACAAATTCACTTGAGCAATAACCTGTGATTTGTGTGGTGCCGACCACACAGCTTTGTGAAGGTTACCCCTCTATCTTGGGAAGCTTATGTCCCAGCAGCTCTCAAAAAATGACAGAAGCTGAAACAATTCTGCCATTAAGGAGCGGGCCACCGTTATTTCCACACAGAGCCCTGTCCTTTATTATCTCTGCGGCCTTGAATTACTACCCACACTCTTCAATTTCTAAAAAGCAGTCTTATGATAAACTTTAACCTGTGTGTTCTTTCTCGGGCTGTAATTTCTGTGTTGAGACTATGTCAGGTGTTTTTCTACAAAAAACCCACTCCTACATTGTATTAAATCTCATAGTTTCCTTTCTATTGTTATTCCAGAACATTCCTTCCTCTGAATGGCAGGTGTGCATGGGTGTGTTTGGGGAGGGGGGAGTGTGTGTGTGTGTGTGTGTGTGTGTGTGTGAGAGAGAGAGAGAGAGAGAGAGAACATGGATGTGTTAACCTTCCTTACAACATTTGAATCATAACTCCCCACTCTTTTTCCCAATGCCTACATGAAAGTTCACATACATGAAATTATATACATAACAAGAAGCTTCCAACACAGAGGCTGGCCCTTGTTGAATACCACCACCATCACCATCATTCATTAGCAACATTATTAATCCGGTACATTCCTTTATAAATTCCTATTACCTACATTTTAACATCCTCATTCTCAACCTCTTTGAGGGAACACCTTTTGTTCCTACAAGACCTGCTAGGGACCAGATGAATCTTTTGGGTCCGAGAATATGAACTGAATCCATTTATTCATTCATTTAACAAATATTAATTGAGTGCTTAAAATTTATAGGGCACTATTATAGCCACCAGGGCTATGACTATGATGAAAATAAAAATCCTACCGTTATGGAACTTAGAGGCTACGAACTCCGTGTATAAATTGCAGAGGATGAAGCCAGTCTCCTGGATGGCCCCCCATGATTCCTGCCTCTGGTATTCATCTAATCCTCTCCCGCAATGAATAGAAATTACCTGTGTGATCAGTACAATATTTCAGAAATTACAAAATGTGGACTTCCAAGGTAAGGTTATAAATGGTATCGAATTCTCTTGAATCACTCTGGGAGAAGCCAACTGTCATGTAAGGGAAACACTCGAGCAGTCCAAAAAGAGTTCTGTGTGGCAAAGAACGGATGCTCCTACAAACAACCAGAGCTAACTTCCTAGGTATGTTCATGTGCTCATCTTGGAAATGGATCCATGACCCCCACTCTGAAAGTCTTCAAACGATGAAAGCCATCATTTGATACATGACTGGATTATGAGATAAAATACAGAAGGCCCAATTAAATTTGAATTTCAGGTGAACCATGCATATTTTTTAGTTAAGTATGAGATTATTACACTGAAAAAAATTATTGTTTATCTAAAATTAAAATTTAACTGAGCATCTTGTATTTTTATTTGCTAAGTCTGGCAACCCTACTTCAATCTAATGGGAGTCCTGAGCCGGAATCACTTAACTGAACTACAGAATTCTTGAACCACAAAACTGTATGAGATAATAAGTCTTTGTTGTTTTAAGCTGCTAAGTTTTGGGGTAATTTTCTGTGCCCCAGTGGGTAACTATTACACAAAGAGTCCATGATACCTCCAAAGTTGTACACAAATTTCTGTATAATTGTGTAGGTGCATTTTCAGGGTAATGGCTTTCATTAAATTCTTAATGGAGTCCGAAGCTATTCCCAAGCATAACATATATGAAACAGAGCAAGAAAAAGAAAGTGAAAGCTGTGGGTTTAGTCGGCCTCTTTTGGCAGGTTATCTCAAGTCAAAAAGACTTTCAAAATAGCACTGTCCACTAGAACTTTCTGCAGTGATGGATACATTCTGTATCTGCACTGACTAATATGGTAGCCACTAACCACATATGGTAACTGAGATCTTGAAATGTAGCTACTCTGTCTGAAGAATTAACATTTTAAGTTCAAGTAACCATATGTAGCTAGTAGCCACAGTATTACACAAGAGAGTTTCCAAAATGGGGCAAAGAGTCCTAAGAGAATTTGAGCTGAGCACCTCAGAACTATAGGACATTCTCAACAATGAGTATAAATCGACTGACACAGAACCTTGTCTGATACTAATTTATATATCTCCACTATTACTCTCCATCCCTCCTACCATCCAACTAAGAGCCTTCCTAATCACTGATTGATAGAAATTAGGTAGAATGCAGTATTAATAGTGTCCCATGGTGAGAGATGGGAACTACACTTGTAGTAAGCACAGCATAACATATAGACTTGTTGAATCACTGTTGCACACCTGAAACTAAAGTACCATTGTATGTCAACTGTACTTAAACTTAAAAATAAAAGAAACTATCTAGAACAGCCACATGAAACTCACATTGCCACTGAAACTTTATCTGTCTAAACCCTAATCTTAGAAGGATTCTTTCTTGACAAGAACACCCAACACATTTTTTTTTTAAGATTTTATTTATTTATTTGACAGTGAGAGAGATCACAAGTAGGCAGAGAGTCAGGCAGAGAGAGGGGAGGAAAGCAGGCTTCCCGCTGAGCATAGAGCCCAATGCGGGCTCGATTCCAGGAACCTGAGACCATGACCTGAGCCGAAGGCAGAGGCTTAACCCACTGAGCCACCCAGGTGCCCCTACCCAACATATTTTTATCACATCCCAACAACAGCCCTTACAAGCTGTGTGACTTGGAGGAAACCATTTAACCTACCTCTTTGTACTTTAATTTCCACATCTGTAAAATTAGGATAATAATATCTACTTCAAGGTGCTGTTGTGGGGATTAAATGTATTCATATACGTGTAAAGCAGTTAGAAACCTGGCCCAGGATCATGGTTAAGTTAATGTTACCTATGCTATATAAATATTAATAACATGAACAAATGTATTAGACTCACAAATACTAACGTAAACTCAGCAATTGGTATCTAAAGTCAATTGATTTTCCCACCTCTGTGGGGCCTTGTTCCTGGCCCTGTGCATGTTGCTACCCTCCTTGGGAAGCTGAAAAGGAAGCTGCCCCCATCCGCCAAGCACCCAACCCCCATTCCTCCAGTCAGAAGATCCCAGCTCAGCAGCAGGTACTCCTGCTGTGGCTGCCTCAGAGCCCTTGCAGTACACATCAAAGCCTTCTTGACTGCTCTCACATCACACTAGCCATAGGCTCAGTGGCAGGAGAAGTTTAGATCTCTTCACTCTCCCCAACAATTATTGCTATTAATCCCTCCCTCACAGAGTTGTACCCAGCCTGTCTTGAAGCCTCTCTTGCCAGTCAGTCCTCTAACGGGTTCCTCTCTGTGGTTCAAACACATGCATATCACCCATGGGAGAAACACTTCTGGAAGGTCTTGGGGAAATTTGAGTTACAGAGGAAAAGCATGTTGAAGAGCCACTGAAGAAATCGACAGATTCCTCACTCCTGTTGCTTGCCTCACAATTATTTAGACAAATAATCGTTTTTTAACTCGTGTTTACTTTAGGCTAGAAACGCTTAATGAGCTAGCACTTCTTTAACGGGCTCAAAAGCACTTGTTTTGCAATTCAGTACTCTTGCCCTTTGACCCAACAGTGAGAGCCAGGGCTCTGCTGGTAAATCAGGGACATCTAGCTTGGCTGACCCTGCTAAAACTGTTTTCCCAGAAAAGAGGAGAACAAAGATCACAGATGAGAAGAAAGAAATGGGTTTCCAGGGGAAAAAGCCAGGGGAATTGCTTAATTGGCATTGTCCCTGCACAGCCCTAGTTTTAAAGGATAAACTACAAGACTAGATTCCAGAAGAATCAGGAACCCTCAAGAAACTCTGAGATTGTAACAAAAATTTTCTAATAGCATTTTTTAATTACTAGATTTAGCCCCCAACGCCACCATTATCCTTCAGATTACCTAAGTATGTCACGAGACAATACATGGTCCATTGAACATGGTAAGAACCTGTGAGCTGATCAAGAGCCTTTCGTCTAGGGCCCTGACAGCAACTTTCTGACGAGCAATTTTATCTGGCTGCACTCTGGGAATTATTTCTTAGAATTTCTCTTTCTTACTAATTTTTTGCAGGTATCTCTAAAACTGGGACAGTAGAAAACATATTGAGTCAAGACCAATCTGAGGGGAAGACAATGGGATTCATTACAAAAATGTGTGTGTGTGTGTGTGTGTGTGTGTGTGTGTGTGTGTGTAAAATGGACAAGTCACGATATGAGAAATGGCATTTGCTTCTTACCTCTTCTTTATCAAACTTTATTTACCCAACAAAACATCCTTACTTATTTGTATTCCTTCTGGACAAACTGTCCTGGATTTTATGTATTGAATTATGTGGTTATCCTAAAAGCAAGATAAATTTGGAGAACACAATTTTATAAATATATGTGACTCATAGCTTCTTTTTCAATTTGGGAGCCACCAAAAAACACAAGATAAGAAATCCTTCTGCATTACCTACCACTTCCTCCAAATATTCTCAGAGGTAAATCCTGAGGATTAAATTGACCAATGCCTTAAGACCTTCTTAACTGCACAGTGGTCAAAAAGAGGCCCTGTCTTGGAGTTGGAGAGCCTGGATAATTGCTTATCTGCCTGAAAGACAGGTTAGCTAGGACTCGTTTAATTTTTTAGAGGGAGTAGAGGGGGGATAAGAATTTTTTGTTAGAGGTGCCTGGGGGGCTCAGTCTGTTAAGTACCTGCCTTTGGCTCAGGTTATGATCTCAGGATCTTGGGATCAAGCCCCACATAGGGCTCCCTGCTCAGCAGGGAGTCTGCCTGTCCCTCTGCCTCTGCCATCTGCCCTACCACCACCACTTGCC